AGCGCCTCTCACCTGACTTACACACATGCAATACAGGGCACTCTTTATGGAGACAAAAGGTGCAGGTGTGATTTCCTGAAGGTTAGATGGCTCCTCAAACCCTAACCTCCTGCCTTCTGGATAAGTACTCTTAATCTCTAGGTCATTATATTAATAGCTTCAGAAGCCACAACACTACCTTCTGCAGTGGTGTGTCTCGGTGACCAAAGCTAGTGCATGTATGCAAAACTCAAAGTTGTTGGCTTATGAGTTCTCTGAACCCTAAACAGAGCTTAGGAATGAGGTTTCTTCTTTCAAATATATTAAAAATCTTACATAAAAAAAGAAGCACTGAGAAAGCAAATACTGACGAAGTTCTGGATCTATGCAGTACCAGAAATTTAAATGCATCTACATTAATCAGAAAAAAAAATACATAGGAATCCACAGACCCTCAAGAACTTAATTTGAAGGCTTTTTATTTTTTTATTTGTTTTAATTAAATGGATCACTCACATGCATTCCTAAATTCTACATGACTTTCACTTTAGGTGTTTATGTGACATGTTTGTGTTCACGCATGTGCACTCTGCATAATTCAATAAACATGAGGTACAAAATATTTAGCTCCTGACAGGTAGCAGACAAGAGCATCGTTGACATATTCCATCTACAAATAGTGGCTACTGACAAACAAGGAATTCTTACAGCTGCAGGCTTAGGAACAGTAACTGCACACTTCTTTTTGAAGCGTTTCTTCCCAATTACAAAATTATATACCATATTGAAATAAGGAAATCTCCATTTTGGGTGAGAAAACTCAACCGTATCTATTACTTAGCTATAAATAAGAAATAAAATATCCTCCATTCTTTCAGGAACTTTGGCAGTAGCCTACCTAATCTCATACCGCATAGAATCAGTCCCTTCCTAAATTACTGGAGCCATTTATCAAACTCCACTCTGATTTTGATAGCAGGCTATGGCTGTAGAAATGTCTCTTTGCAGATCTGTCTCCAGGCCCATTGAGATCTCTTTCCCTTCTGGAGCTTCTTTCAGCCATATGGCCCACAGTTCCAAAATGTTTTGTTTAGCGACTCTCATTGAATTCTGATACAAAATGCAAAGAGTAGCTTTACAAATTTCTCTATCATTCCTCATGACTGAGAATAGCTGAGTTATGTTGACAGTTCTTGAGTGTTCCTTGGAACCGAAAAACAATCTGTAAGGGATGTAACTTACAGTTTTGTGAGGAATAGCTTTCAGGAGGTTTAGAGTTTTATATGCGCAATAACAACCTAAGCAGCAGGAGGGCAGTTCACCAATATAAAACAGAACTGATTCTGTGCTTTACTGTGATTCTGTCTGTTATTATTTTAGAGATTCAGCCTGACTGCATTAATCAGCACTAAGAAATGGACTGTAAAAATCATGTAGTGCACTTTATCTTGACCTAGAGAGACCACCTCCAGGTAATAAAAGCAAGTTTAGTTTCTTTGCCCATATAATTTCTGTCTTGCTGATAAGACTGCCAAAACCCATGTCATTTATAGTTGCTACAGATGCTTTTCTGAGATACACTTGCCAATGAACACACAACAGGTGGTAAGAACTTTTATTTACACTACCTTTTACTGTATGCCAGAACAGCAGTGCATGTGGACAGAATATGAACTGTTTTTATTTTGGTTGAGAAAACTCAGTCATTATTTCAAGAAAATGCAACATACTTAGAAATAAGAAATAAAACTTTCTCCATTCTCTTAAAAGCCAGCAGTCTACCTAATCTTATATTGCCTAAAATCATTCCCTGCATACAGTCAATCTAATAAATGAATTAAACCAATTTAAAACTAAACAATGTTAAATGCAGGACAGAACAAATATTGTGGTGATTTGTGCTTCAAAACTACATGAAATAATCAGAACAGTAAAATAAAAAAAAACATATATAGTATTGACCCTCGCTTTTCTTTAGATCAGTGAGAATGGCATGTGCCATTAGTTTTTCAAACAAAATGCAGTAAAATTTTCATAATTACAGGGCTAAGGTAGTAATCCTTGACTAATGCCTTCAAACTACTTATCCTTAGGCCATCCATTATGAAATCAAAGTGCTTATCACTGAAGCAGAGGTAGTATCCTATGAAAGCCATATGGTATAGAATTGTTGGAAGTGATGCATAGGAGAAGGACGAGTCTTAGATATCAGTGTAAAAATGGTTCAGGACAGAGCAGGAAGTAAACAGCACAGGGAACAGATGAGAACATATTACTGCTAGGAGCCATTCAGATACTCTCAGACAAGAGCAGTTGATTTGGTTCAGTAGCTTCCTGAATCCACAGGTTCTCTATGCTCATACTCTGTGTACTGCCTACTCTCATCTCAGCCATCTCTTCTCCTCTGTGCATGTCAACACATATGAGGGTTTAAGTGCAAGTGATTCTTAAACTGCGGTAGAGTATAAACTGGAGGAGAAAATATAATACTGTCAGAACCAAAACCTTAGGCCAATCAGATAACATGTGTTGGTAAAAACATTCCTGAAATTCAGCCAGCGAATTCTGACTTATCTCTTGTCTAGACTCCAATAGGTAATATGAAGTAGCAATTGATAAGTATTTTCTAATGTATGGCTGCAAGCATCTAAGCACTGAAAATGCTATAGAAGTAGTTACGTAAAAGAATAACATCTTTCAGAGAAGAAATTCTCTATTTTAATTCTTTTCCCCAAAAATTGAATGACCTTACTGAAACTTCCCCTCATCTTTTGAATGAAGAAGAAATAAGAGAGTTTGAGAAGTTACCATTTAATTATGAGAAGAGGGAAGCTCTTAATATCTTAATCCTATAAAGTAATATAGAAAACACTTTAATGATTGCTATTTTAAGCAATCTCTTTGAGATTACTGGCCTCAGAAATATCAGATATCTGAAGATCAGGAAGATTCTTTTTTTATCGTACTATACTTCTGTAGAAGTCACTTGAAGACTCTTGCCAGAAAGAGTTAGTCCTAGCACTAGTTATCTTAATTCTATTCTTTAAGTTAAAGATTCTTCTAAACTTAAAAAAATATATATACTGTTAACATTTCTCAAAAATCGACACTAGTGAGCCTCAGCAAACAAAGGAGTTATGTATCTACCATATTCACACTTCATGAATATCAATTTGGTCTCTCTTAAGGAACTTCACCAGATTCAAAAGCTATGTACAAAATGCAAGAGCACTCCATAGTATGCTGTACAATCCTGTACAATCTTTTCCAGAGAAGGGGACTTTTCAGTGTTCCATCTCCCATGTAATCCACATACACACTGGTTTTCACATGAAAAACACGATACAGCAATGTGTGCCTTATTCTCATCACAGCTTAAAGCTGAGATCTTTGTATGTTTTCTGTATTTCTGTCCTTCTTGCTTCAACATTTACATTCAGCCTTATTAAATACAAATTTTACGTTACGGTTACTTATTATCTCTATCCTTACAACATCTGGCAGTACCAGCTTGGAATTAGGATGTGTCCAATATGTACGCTCAGACTTGAAAGTAGGAAGTTCATCTTAGGCCTACAGATACAATCTAAAAGAATCTTCAGAAAAGAAGAAAAACCTGCAACCCATGTTGCAGCACATTAAGTATGTTAAGTTCTTTTAAAGAAACTTCCCCAAAATCTGATGAATAATGTCTTAAAATGACTTATAGGATAAGCTGAAATTTGAGCAGGGTTATCACCACTGCTTTCTCTATTCCTCATATTATTGTCCCAGCATTTCGACACAATATAAATATAATGTTAAATGTTTTTGTTATGCTCTATCTATATTTCTGTAACACTTGAGAACTCCTAACACAAAACAGGTACACCATGCTAAGCACTACAGCCCATAACAATAATTATATAACTATATACATACACACACACACACATACAGGTACACAGGTGTATATGGACATACATAATTTATATATAGTATTATACACACAGATATATACGATATATACACATATAACCTGCAAACTTCAGTCCCTTTTAATTGTGCTGAAGGCAGTAGATATCAAAGATTTTAAATATCTGAGTAAGAACTTGACACTCACCCCGCATAATCTAATTTTTTAATATTGCACTTACAGTCAATTAAAATAGATTCTTTACCACAGTAAATCAATCCCTGTTCCTGCAGTGCTAAAAAGCTGCAAATTTTTGTACTGTTTAAATGTATTACCACGATATCTAAACCCTTCAGGACCACCTACAATCCCAGTGGATCAGGAATTATACCAAAGTTATACTCCATAAAGACTATACCTGTATGCATAGATAAATAAATAAAGTTACAAACACACATACACACACACATACATATATATATAAAGCCTATTCAATGTAATTGCCTTCTTAGTTATGCTACCATAGGTACTGAACAGTCCTTGTGGGTATTCACAGTTACAATCTCTCAGGGAAAGCAATGTATGGTTTTTTTATATTTTTAACATTCACTCCTAAATAGTGAAGCTCTTTTCATTTTTTATTTGCATTTCATTCAATTTTTATGGCAAGTAGGTCAGTGTAGAGTTTACAGAAAGAAAAAAGTTATCATATGTTCATTGGTGAAACTGATAAAGTTCCTATTTGGGAAGAGCAGTTGGACTCCACTGAACAGAATGGACATAACCTACCAGGATTTGGCATTTTTTGCTTTATTTTCTGCTTTGAAATATTTATTTTATCTAAGGAATGTAAAAACTATAGTAACTGATGTTGGAGACTAGAATAGTATGTTTCTGCCACAAGTGCATGTATCTTACTGTGAAGAGTCACAAAAAGATGTAGAAACTATAAAGAATGTGAACAGCCAAAATAAAGCTCTTAATATTCACATGTCGAATAGACCTGGCTAAAGCATTGTGTCTTTACAGTGAAAAAATAAATTGATATGGTACAAAACTAGAGAAAAAATAGTGTGGACACAGGATATTCCGTATGTTATCAAAAAATCAAAGTAGAATGACTTACCACTTCTTCATGGGTAGCATTTTCTACATTAATACCATTAACCTAAAAGCAGATATGAGAGAGAGAAAATGATTTGCAATGTGTCAGTTAGCTAATGAAATAAACATAAAGCCAAGTATGAAACAAATGCGTCTGCAGAACAAGCAAATGTTTACTGACCTGTATTATTGCATCTCCTATAAATAACATTCCTGTTTGGTCAGCTGTGGGATTACAAAAGGATTGCATTTTAATTGAAAAAGGCACTGAAAAATAATGCTAGATTGCCTTTCAGCACTTGTTTTAGCATGCTGTTTATAACAGTCACCTGAAACTGCTTTGTTTGGGAAAACACCAACAGAACAGCAATCAGTCACCATCCTGTAAAGCTAATAGATTCCTTCCTATTTCAAGCAAATTGAGAGAGTTACTTTCCATGCACAAAGAACTTATTTAATATGGAACATAAACATCGTTTCTCACTAATGAAAGATTTCATTAAATTATGTGGAAAGTGTGATTCACACTTTTCATTAGTCTTCTACAAAAGGAAAATAGGAATTTCAAAAACTACTTACCAGTTCCTTTCCCCCCAAACAGATTTACAGGGACTGCTGTAATTAAAGAGATTGTGCCTAGAATACAATACTACTCTTTAATATTAAGTTTAAGTTAGCTTTGTTCTTGAGAGTAACATAATACATTATTTCAGTATGCAATTTGCACGTGTCCTGCCTTACAGAATTAATGGGAATAATGTAATGAAACTGTAAAGAAATATAATTCTATACAGGTTCAAACAATGACATTTCCTGAGGTGTACTCACTGACCATTAAATTTTATAATTTTTAGTGGAATTTGAGGATGTTTACCTCTTGGAATTTAGCACTTAATTAAAAGTAAGGTTGTGATCCTGCCAAGATTGATGTGGTTAAATTAAGTATATGAACAGTTATATATATGATTGTATAGGATTATTGCTTAGAGTTTTGAAGAATGCAATACATGTTAACCAGAATAATATTTTTAGAGAAGGAAAGAGGTAAAGAAAGAAGTAAAAAAAAAGTATATGAGTTTCAGAAGTTTTGTTTCAGACTAGTTAGTCTGGTCTCCCAGATTGAATGGTCCCACAACCCAGGTGAGGCAAAGCTGCCCAAGGAAAGCTATTGTACTAACCCTCACTTTCTGGGATTTTGGTCCCTAAGCAGCCCATCCAGAGACGCACCAGCATCCCATTGTTTTTGTCACACAGTGGTATACTCCTGATGCCAGTAGTAGCTATAACGGGCCACATCAGCAGAAGCAGGCCTTACTTACAAGTAATACAATGCTAACTGCTATTTGAACCTCCTTATAGTGCAGATCTTCAACTTTATTTGAACAAAGGTGTAACACCAGGAGAGTAAGGTTTCATCCTGCTCCTGGAGGACACCCTTAATGAAGCAATCCTGGCACTCTTGGATATTATTTGGTCTATATAGGGCTGGTGGCAGGACCCATGCTTCAAATCATCACAGCAAGGCAGCTGTATTTATACATACTGCAACGACTGTCACTCAACTAACCTACAGGCCTCTGCTATGATGAGGATGGCATGCAGCTGGCAGTTGTTGTTGTCTTGAGGACCTGTCTTGTTGGCTTTTCTGGGAGGCCAAAGTAGTCGACGTCCCCATTGGAAAGATTTTAGCTGGAAATGATGACAACTGAAAAAAGAAGCATAATAAAAAAAAAAGAGGTGGGAGCACAAGGACTTTGGAAAAAAAGCTCTGCAAGAGGTGAAAGCTACAGAAGGGCTAGCAAGAAGGGGAAGCCTACTGAGCCAGGAGATGTTCAGGTGGAAGATGAGTTCCTGATGGAAGAGCAAGTCACAAAGAGCCAGAGGCCGGTAGCTGTAACCATCCTCCTAGCTGTTGACCTAGCCATGACAAACTGCTCAATTCTGGCACAGTAAGGCTGTATAATCTTGAATCAGACTGCTGTGAAAACTGCTACTTTTTGAGAAAGAGCTATAATACAACACGTAGACCGGCATCACGTAAATAAGAAAGGTAAAACTACAGACACAGGCAAGATTGGTCAGAACGGCCCAGTTTGCAACTAAAGATAGAAGAGGAAAAACACTGATGTGAAAAGTATAAAATCTCAAGGAAGAAAATCGAGGAACTGGAAAATAATAACTCAGCAACACTGAAGATCTATTGCTCTTCTATGGAGCAATAGAAACTGAACCTTCCCCACCTGACTGATGACTTCAAGACCAGCAAAGACCCACGAGGTGTCCCACAGGGGTGAGGAGTACTGCAATACCTACGTACCATGAGCATTAGCTAATATATACTACAACTTAAGAGCAAAAAGCATTTATATCCTTCTTGCAGAATCTCTGAGCAGAGTTGTGTGTGTCCAGACAACGTAACTGAGACAAGGTGGGTTACATGGTTGATACCCAATGCTCTGTGATCTGAAACAAAGCACTGAAGATGGGGACAATCAGGAGCTTTGCTCACAGAACTGTGATACTGCTCCAAACTAAAACAATAATATATTAAAATCTCCATGACTGGTTTGATAGTAGCAGCTGTCATCATAGCCAGTGATGGTACGCTGACAAACTATGCTTGAAAGTCTCCTATTTTGCTTTCAGTCAAACCACCATTTTGGTTTCAGCCAATGATGTATAATTTAAAATCAAAGATGGTTTCTAACAAAAGTATTTTGCCCAAATCAAATTGAGAGGACATGCCCTAAGATGCAGAAATTAGATGATAGGTTACAAGTGTATTAGAAATCAGTGTTGTTTAACTAAATAGATGCTACTCCTTTAAAACAAATAATTTTGCAAACTAGGTGAATGCCATCTCTAAGGGAATTATTCACTTTCTCACAAAAATGTGTAAATCTACAAAAAAAATGATAAGAAGCGGTGGTTCAGAAAACCAATCTAGTTGCTACTAAAGTATTCTTGGAAAGAGAAAAAGACACTTCTGTTTCTGTAAGACTTATTTTAAATATTGAAGACAAGTGCATATGTCATTTAAAACTTTACTGAGGTTTTCATTGGAATTATATGTTCTCTACACGACAAAAACCTTTATAACTTCAGTTAAATGTTTCAATTTATGTGGAGCTTTGCCTCCCACTTAGCACCCTCTATACAAAGGTGTCTATGAAAGGCTGTTCTGTAACTAGGATCACTATGTGTAAAATTAATTAGTACTGAAAAGTAGAAACTTCATAAAGAATTTTGGCGTACCAAGTGGTAAGTAACCTTATTTAGAGAAATAGTAAATGCAACGTCTCTGGAATTCGTGAGGTTTCATTTGAAATAATATAGAAGTTTGGTACCAATACCAATAATTCTAGTAGTCTTGAAATGAACATGGCCAAAAAATTGACTTTCCAAAAAAAAAAAAAAGCACAAAGTAGTTATGAGCAGAAATGTACCAGGCTTTAAAACAGCATTAAACATATACTGCAGCAACTAGTGTTAGAACCCTTTTAGTCTTCATCTTAATTGTCTTTTTTAAAAAAAAAAACACTTAAATTGGTAAAATTCACAAATGATACTGCAGTAGGAGGAAAGCATCTGGGAAATCTAAAGAGTATAAAGTACATTAAATGATATGAATTTAATCAAATAAAATGTTCCTACTTTTAAGAATATATCAGAGTTGAAACACTCCCAAAAGCAAGCTGCCCATCATTCAAGTCACTTAAAAAATTCAGAAAGAGCCATGGACTATCTGAAATAATTTTGCACTTGATGAGAAGGAAAAGCAAGAAGAAGTAATTTTTTCTAGCTTTACTTCATGTTTCATATTCATTAGGGCTGAAGGAGAACTGCATTAAATTTTCTAAAATTTGCAAGATTGTGAAACTGTAAATTTTACAGAATAGATGATAGAGAAATCCTGATAGACCACATGCACAGATCGGAGTTCCTATATACAGATTTGAGTCTGTAAATAATTTGATGTGCATATTTTCCTACAGATTGGTCATACTAAACATTTCCATTTTGAAAAAAATTGTTAAATTTCTGAATTACACAGGCAATATACAAGGTGCTAAATTCTCTGATACTGTATCAGTTTTGCACAAAAACATGATCAGTTTTAAGCACATGATTAGCTTCATTGACCTCACAAAGCTCTCAACTTGTAGGCTAAACTTTAAATATATGTGTAAGTATTTCACTGCATGAGGAAAACAAAAATCATTAATTAGAAACCAGATGACAAAATAAGAAGACCGGAGAAATTGGTAACCAGAATGCAAGAGACTTCTTAAAAATGTATAGATGTATTTTTCCTTCCTCTCCCATGAACCGGACAAAAAAGTATCCAGCATGACTATAAAGATATATTTGGTGCCATTTTTTTTTATTACTGTATTTTAAAGATAATTTGACATTTTTAATCAATATTTTAAAGAGGAAATCTCTTACCTCAGACACTGAAAACTATCTTGTTAGAGAAGCTTTTAAAACAGAACATGTTCTTTACAGGGCTATGTTAAATGTCACTTCGTTGTTTAAAGCAAAAAAATTGTCCAGGTTTCTATTCTTGAATAGAAAAAATTGGCACTCTTGTGTTCGCAAGTGAAAGGTATTATTTTGTTACTAATTAAACATGCACAATTTTTACAACAGAAGAATCTATGGGAGCATACCAAAAATGTTAAATCATTTGAAAACATTACTGCAATTAATTAAGTGTGATTTATTGCCACTCCACGGTGATCAGAAAGCTGAGGGCATAAATGTTGGCTTTGTATTCTAACTATGGATTCCTTAATTTTACTTTCCTTCCTCCTCTCCGCTGGCACATAATTCAAAATAGAGTTTTATAGCTCTTATTTATTTACTGTCCCAAGATTATTGCAGTGCTAAGAAGCTACACAAACAGAAGCTAAACATACAGAGGCAACTAGAGGGCAAGTACAGGAATCTGTAAAAGCATGAGAAAGACTTACGTGACATAATATTGCCAAGGAAAAGAAAACTATATCTAAGCACAGCAAGTTCTGACCTTACACTACTATAAAATAAATCTCGATATTAAGCCTTTTGCCTTATCACAATAGCCTGTAACTGCATCAGATTCCAAAAGCCAAGCAGGATTAGGCTGGCTGAATACTTGGATAAGAATCCCATAAAATAACTGCTGCTGCAAAAAGTGATGCTTTTTAAGTTAGCAAGTTTTGCTCAAGTCATGAATTCAT